AGCCGCCCCGCGTCTCCCGCCGGCGCCCCCTACCTGCCGGCCGTGAAGCAGCTCCCGTTGGCAGCGCCGAGGGTTGAAAAGGCCACGAACAGCGGGACGACCCAGGAGGCTGGGTACAGAACACGGTCCCCAAACGTCTGGTGAGAGAGAGGTGAATCCTCAGGGTCCTCCGCCGGCTCCAGGAGCCGCGGGTCCAACAAAGCTGCTCTGCCCCGGACCGGAGCACCACGCGCGCTGGCGCAGCCTCTGCGGGAGCGGGAGGGCGGAAGCGCTCGGGAAGGAGCGGTTCTGCCTTTGCTCCCTCCGGAGCGTCTCGGGACCTTCCGATGGTAACAGAAATCGCGCGTCCACCCCCCTTGGCATAGGTCTCGGTCGCTTCTGCGTCCTTCCAGCACCCCGGCCCCCCCAGCCCCGCTCCGAATGCGTCACCTCGGCGCCTGCTTCCAACCCCAGCTCACGGCCCCCACCTTTCCCACCTCTGTCCCCTCCTGTCCTCGCCGTTACTGCGATGACTTCTCAACTCGTTCATGCTCCTTCTGCCCAGACCCCAACCCTGGGGGGTCAGCCCTGCTCTCCCCTCGGGGCCTCATCCGTCCCCTCCCCCGGGCTCCTGGCTGATGATTCCCCTCCGTGCTGCGTGGGAACCTCAGCTTGGCGTGGACTCCTCGTCTGACCCCTTCCCACGGGCCACAGCCCTCTGGCAGCGACGCCGGGCGCTCACCACGGCCACGGCCTGGGACTGCAGGAGCTCGGTGGGCGTCATCACAGTGAAGTAGGACACGTTCATGAGGATGTAGCACACTGTCACCAGGGGGATCCCGATGACAATCGCCAGGGGCAGGTTTCTGGGCGGGACAGTGACATAGAACCCGGGGTCAGACCAGAGCATCCGTGGCACACTCGTGAGGTGGTTGCTTTGTCTAGTCCTTTCCGCCGGCCCTCCCCTGCTCCCCGTACGGCTGGGGTCCCAGATGCCCTTCCTGAGGTCTCCCCCAGTAGGGGGTTTGTGCTGCAGCAGAGCCCCAGCGGGGACATGGGACACTCGAAGGAGAATTCTCCCTCTCGCAGACTCCAGGGCGGTAAAACCGAATTGTTTGTAAAGCAAAATAAGCCGGAGACAAAGGAAGTTAGAGTCCTTCCTTCCCCTTAGCAACCATTCACTCCATTGCCTAAAACAGAGCCCAGCTTCAACGAGTACATAAGGACCGTCCCATCTGGAAGACGGTCGGGGCTAATGGGAGGAAGCAGCTCCGCGTCTCGCCTGGAGCAGAGAAATGTGCCGCCATCCCCCGCCCGGGCTCAGCTCTTACCTGTAAGGGTTTCTGAGTTCTTCTGTGATGTAATTGAGTTGGTTCCTGGAGAAGGAAAGGTCAACGTGAGTGACTTTCAACATACCTGGACTGTAAGACTGGCGAACATACAGTAATAAATGTTAGCCTCATTTAAGATTCTGCACCACAGAGAAAATTCTGCAGGAATTCCAGGGTAACTTCCTTCTGGGAAGGCCCCGGTGCTAGCGGGGCCCGGGGTGCTCGCAAGACCTACACATCGTCAAGTGGTCAAATCTTTGCCCTCTGTGAGAGTCACGTGCATTTGCAAGGACAATTGGGAGTAGCGAGTCCCCAAGGGAAAACAGAACTTCTTTGTCTGAAAAAGAAATGAAACCTACGGTTGCTTCACAGGGGGGAAAACCGGCGTCAGGGACGGCCACGCTGCGTCCTCGAAGAACACAAGCAGCATCTCGGCGACAAACCCGCCGCTTTCGGGCTTTGAGCAGAAGTGCTGCTGAGTGTTCTTGCCTTGCCAAGCCCCTGGGCGGCCCTGGCTGCCTCTGTGGGGCCAAGCCGTGTCTGCCTGGTGAGAATCCTACACCAGGTCCGCCACGCCTGCCCACGGGACACTGTCACCGGGAAAAGGGCAGGTGTCTCGGTGTCCGAGGGAGACTGAAGGGTGAGGGTGGGGTGCTTCACAAAAGGGAAACGTGATGGTGAATTTTAGGGTCACACCAGACACCAGAAAGGGGACAGCCGAGGTGACATTAGCCCAAAGGAACACAGCACCGGACTCGGGACATCTCAGGGGCGCCTCACCATCCGTCGTAGGCCCAGAGTCCGTTGTAAAACGCCAGACTGATGGCTCCCACGGACACGTCCGCCCCCTCGAAAGAATTTTCAAAATTCTTTGTATTTCCTGTAATTAAGCCAGAGTGAATTGCGGGTGTCAGCCGACCGGATTTTGCGCTCATCTGGGGAAGGAAGGGAATGACTCGTGACCTCAGGTTATTAAACTAACTCTGGAGAGCTGGGGCGCTAAAGACGTTCTAAGTTCCCGCCAGGCTTCCTCAGAGAGACGCTCATGGGGACGTCTGCTCCAGACGCAGAGGCGGCGCAGGGTTCGCCGGGCGCCTGCCCTCCCGCCCGCCGCGGTCACCTTGGGCCAGGAGGACGAATCCACTGATGACGATGATGGCCACGATCACCAGCTTGGCCGCGGTGAAGAAGTTCTGCACGTAGCTGCCCAGCCGCACGCTCAGCGAGTTCACTACCACGATGAGCACTGCAGGGTCGGGTGGGTGACGTCCCGCGTGGGTGGTTTGCAGCAGGGCCCTGGAAAATCTCCTTCCCACCGCCACCCGCTCCGCCACCCTGAGCTGAACGCTGGGAGGGCCGAGCCAAAGAAGGGGTCACGCTGGGGCTGCCTGGGGGCGGCAGAGAAGCCGTAGGCCCCGAGGCCTGGGCGCAGCTGGGGGACAGCCAATCCCTGCAGCTCCGACGGGCCTGGGGGCTTCTCGGCACGTGGCACCCGCGGGGACCGCAAAGGCCAGCGCCAGAGCCTTCCGCTGACTCGGCCTCTTTCTGGGCGGCGAGGAGCCGAGGCCAGCGCTGACACCCCCCCGCCCCCAATGTCATCTGTGCCAGGTCTTCTCTGACCCCTGCCCCGGGTTTCAGGCTTGGGTACTCACAGATGGCGGCAGCAGCCAGGCACTTAATGACCACTGCAGGCGGCTTGCACCCCGAGTAGAAGGGCACAGCGACGTACTCGGAAAAGGTGAGGCAGATGATGGCAAAGGACGAGGGCTTCGTGACCATCAGGCTGGCCCAGGAGAAGAGGTAGGCGGGGACGGGGCCGTAGGCCTCCATGAGGTACGGGTACTCGCCGCCCGACTTGGTGATGGTCGTGCCGAGCTCTGCGAAGCACAGAGCGCCTGGAACACAGAGAGGGGTCCCCCACTGCCCTCGTGAGGGGCTGCCCGTGTCCCCGGGAGCCTTCCTCCCACTGCGGTCCTCTCGCCGACGGCCCTGCGTTCTGGCCCTCGGACGTTTAGTCGCAGCCAGCAGCAGCAAGGACCCTTATGGAACCCGTCCCCCGCGTCGGACAGGGAGGAGTTCACCGGGGAGCACCGTCTGTTACCCAGTGTCGCGAGCACCCCACAGACAGCCCAGATGATGAGACAGGGCCCCACGGCCTCCGTGTTGCTGAGCACGGACTTCGGGGAGATGAAGATGCCGGAGCCGATGATGGTGCCCACGATGATGGAGATGCCGCTGACCAGCCCCACCTCGGGTGCGGAGGGCGGAGGGGGTGTCAGGGCCGCCACCCGGACCCGGTGGCACCCTCTCCACCCCCTCAGGGACAGCCAGTACAGCCCCAGCTGAACCCCACGTCCCAGGCACTTCGGCCCGACGCTGTCGCAGTGGAACAGAGCCCCGTTCCCGGGGCTTCGCTGAGTCAATTGATTCTCGTGGCAGCCCCGTGCATTTTACAGAGAAGACAGGCACAGAAAGGGTAAGTTACTGCCCTTGGTTACACAGCCAGACAGGGGACCTGGCTCAGGTCCCACGCTCCTGACCACAGCCCTCGTGCGCCCAGCGGAAAGGCTGACTCGGCACGTCGGGCACCAGCGGGAAAGGCCCTCGGGTGCGCCCTGTGGCCGGGCAGAGGGGAGAGGAGTCGCCAAAGCAGAGCGAAGTTGAGGCTCACGTCCTGGCCAGAGGAGCCACTCGGGGTGAGCAACGGAGGCCGCCCCGAGCCAGAAACACTCGGGGACTCCCTGTGAGCCTCCTTGGTGCCGCCATCTAGGGCGTGAGCTCTCTAAGAACAAAGCCGGCTCCGGTGTGTGATTACCGAGAACGGGCAACGCTAACCCGCGGCGTTGGGAATTCAAGGCCGGGCAAGGCGGGGGGAGCTCTGAGATGTTTGTCAAAACTCATCCGACTGCGCGCTAACGATCTGCACGTTTCACTGTACGTAAATTACATACCCGTCAGGGGGAAAAATACTGATTTAAAGGGAAAAAAGCCTGACTCAAGCCCCCACTCATCAGCCCTCAGAAGCTGCCCGGCCCAGATTCCCAGAGCAGGAAGTTTCCAGCGCCCGTGTCGCCTGCCTGGGCAGAGGCTGCTCTCACGGTTACATGCCGGGGGACCAGGGGGATCCCAGCGCAGGCTGGCCACCCAGGGGACTCGGCGCACACGTGAGGGCCCTGGGGAGCTGCCTCAGCTTCCGGTCCAGCCACAGGGACAGGGTGCAGTCCCAGGCGAGGACGAGGACGGCTCAGCCCCCGCCTCTCCAGCCCTCCGGATTTGGACGAGCTCTGCATGCGCCCTGAAGCCACCCGGGTTTAGGACACGCCTGGGGCTTTCTCAGCGGCTCTGTGTGGCCAGAGGGCCCACCGGGTTCTGAGAGGACCTTGCTGGGATCGGGCATGAGACTGGCTGGGAAGGAGGTGCTGCCTGGTGCCCAATCCCTGGGGACCCTTGTCCAGCCCGAAAGCCTCAGTGCCGTCCCTCCTCCATGGCCTCGGGGCCAGGCACGAGAGCTTCCGGGGGCCCTGCCCAGATCTCAGCCCCCTCGTCTGCCCTCCAGGCTGACGCCGTCCTAACCTCCCTCTGGGGCCCTCTTTCCCCATCCTGTAGGCACAAAGCCCTGCTGTCCTTCCGTGCCACCCTGCTGCTCCTGCCCACCTGGGGCTGGCGCGGTGTGGAGCGCTGAGCTCCTTCCTGCCTCCAAACCCACCCCCGAAGCTCCCCTTCCCTCCTCACGACCCTGCGACTCAGAGCAGTCATCTGTGCCACACCTATGTCAGATGGCCGTCCCAGCCAGACTCCTCTAGAACAGAATGCTTCCCGTCACTATAGATGTCCAAACAGTGACAGAGATTTAGCCAAGATGCTGTTGAAGGGGCTCGACGGTCAGAAGAAAGCCTTCTCTGACCATCCCTGGGAAGGCCACCGGTTTGAGCAAAAGTACCAGCCCCTCCGGACACTTGCCCGGCGCACATAACACGTATGTACGAACCTCAAAAGAATGTGCTGAGTTCCCTGGCAAGAGGAACTGAGGGAAGCCCAGAGAACCGCTCCTTTAAAGGTGAACGCTACAAATCAAAGATCACACCCTTTGCCCCATCGCCAGGGATCCGCAGGGCCTGGGCTGCCAGCCGCGCCTCGTCCCAGCCCCGCTCCGCCCGGACGGCGCCCGCGTCGGGGGACGGCCTTACCTCCTTCTGGAGGCTTGTGGTCTTGGGCTCGCTACTCTGGACCGACTTCCCATCCTCTCTCCGCTTCCTGGGGCTTGTCTCCCCCATTTTCCACTCCTGCGCGTCCCAGGAGGCTGCAGGCGGGGCACGGGCGGGATCCTGGTTCAGCACACGCGGACTGAACAAGAACGCGAGCTCCGCAAGGGCTCCGCCTGCCAAAGCAAATCCTCAGCCAGTGCTTTCGCAGAGGACAGTGGTCAGCCCCTTAGGGACGGTTGGCTCAGCCCCAGAAGTAAAGAGGCGTCATTAACGTTCAGGCCGCAGGGAACAAAGCCTCCGTGCTCCCTTCCAAAGCTGAGGTGTTCGTGTCCCCTCCCTGCCAGCTCCTGCTCCTGTCCCTGTGCTACCATCTCCTCACCCTCGGCAGGGACACGCTTGGAGGTCACTCTGTCTCCACGGCCTGAGTTCATTTCTTTCAAAAGCAAAAAGGAACACTTGAAAGCACACTGGAATACACGCAGGGCACCGAGCCTGCGGAAGGAAGGTGTCTCGTGTTCCTTCCCGGGGCGCGAGCGCCTCATTCGCGATAGATCACGGCACAGGTGCTTGTTCATCGAGGGATGGAAGGAATGAAAATTGCCGAGGAAACCCAGCTCGCAACTGCACTGGGAGACGGCCACGTACCGCACCCTGTCTCTGAACAACTCCCCTGCCCGGGTCCCCGCCAGCAGAGCGGGCGGCCCTGCCATCTCCCGCCGGCCTTACCTCTGCCCTTGACCTTGCCGAGCCGGAGGAGCTGTCTGCCGGGCCGCGCGCCTGCACAGCTGAGCCCTGGGAATGGCCATGTCTTGTGCCCCGCAGTGGAGGAAGCCAGAAAGTACAGAGGTCACAAGGGTAATTATTAATCACCATTTTTTCCAAAGCAATGGGGCTTAGAGACACTACACAAAAAGGGGCGGGTCAGACAAGCCAGTTTCTCTCCAGAAATACTTCTGTTCGTTTGTGTCTAGATTGATGTCTTCAAAAAAAAAAAAAAAAGAAAAAAGCAGATTGGCCCAAATGAGCTACATCCTGCAAGGAGAAATCTCTCTAAAGAATAGAAATAATGCTTTTAGGAGATAAAAATCTTTGGGAATCAGAGGATATAAACTTTGGAGCCAACTCTTTCAGGACCTTAATGGGCTGTGCTTACAGCTCAAGTCAGGCCGTGCAAACAGCAGCTGCTGCCCACATAACCCAGCGGTTGCTCCGGTGTTCTCCTTCCCACCGAGCAGAGCCCCCAGCTCGCCCTCCAACGGGCTGGCCCCGCCTCTCCCCTTTGCCAGTGGCTGCGTCTGGCAGCACCTGGGACCTCGAGAGCTTGGCTCCGTGCCGGCCGGGCTTCGGGCAGGCCCACTCCGTCCTCACTGCAGCCCGGCCACAGGCCCGTCACGGTTGGCCACGGTGCTGTTCAAGTCCCCGGTCCCACACGCACGGGGCAGAAGAGGGAGAAGGGCCACACAATGTCGTCAGCTCCACACTCTCATTTGCCCGACAGGGAAACCGAGGCCAAGGCCCAAGAAGCACAAGGCCGCAGAGCTCTGGCCCCACCCAGGGCTCCGTGGAACTGGCCGTTTGCCTTGGGGGAGGGGCAGACGTTCTCTAGCTGTGCTCAGAGGGGGTCAGGGCCGAGGCACCCCTCCCCAGCCAGCTGGAAGGAAGTCGCTTATCAAAGAGGCAGGAGGACAGCAGAGGACAGCAGGGGACGGCAGGGGATGGCCTGAAGCATTGTTGCTGTTATCTCCAGCCAAGACTCCGGCAGTTTTGCTTTTGCTTCCAGGTAAACTTAACAGCATCCCAGGTATCAGGATAGGACCAAAGGTCGCGGCTCTGGGGGTGATGTGGGAGCACTTTGGGGCTGGCAGACCTGAGAGCGGGCAGAGTTCTCAGGGTCGCCTCTTAAAGCATCAGGAGAACATGGGGGCCCTTGCTGTCCCAGAGCCAGGATCCCGATTCAGAAGTTTGTCACCTCCCCTCTTAGGAGGGCCAAGCCTGTTGGCCTGCCTGCCATGCCCTGAGCCCCGAGCAGAGTGCCTGGGTCTCACCTGCCTTTCAGACGCTGTCCCGCTCACATCACAGCGCCCGGCCCATCTGCGTCTGCACAGAGCTACACGACACTCCCTGGGTCAGGATGGCGCCCAGCAGGCGGATGTTCTAACGGAAGCCACTGCGGAGAGCAGGGTGGGACAGTGGTCCCCAGTGGACCCAGGCAGCCCTGCAACCACCCACCAGCCACATGGCCTGGGGGTTAGTGGGCCTCTCTGCAAGGATCAGGTTCTGAACCTGAACAATGGGGCTAGCAAGGGCACCGCACGGAGCCACAAGCCTGCGGGTTACACGGGGAGCGGAGCACCCCCGGGCTTCCGCAGTCTGGAGCGTCTGGGTGTGGGCATCCTCTGTTGAGTCAGATCTCTGCTTCGTTCATTTTCGGGTCATGGTGAGCACTTCCTAAAGCCGCGTTTCTCACCCCACTCCCCACCCCACGGGGCGAGTGTTCAACCAGGTATCATAAGTTGGGTTTTTGTTCGTGGAAAATAATACAGATTTGGTTTAAAAACCAAAAATTTCCCCAGTTTTTCTCCAGGACTGAAACCGTCCTCACAGGGTTAACAGGAATTATTATGCATGCCGGGCTCCGGGCAGAAATGTCGCTGTAATTAAGCATTAATCGGTGCACTTTGGGCCACTCCCCTGTAACGCGGGTCACAGCGCTAGACACTGACAATTGGCATCCCCATGGTCCCGCGGATGGAATCTCTGACGTGAGAATCGTAAGGCTTTAGTTTCGGAATTGCTCAAGATGTTTTTCAGATCCTGACTCCGGCGGACAGGCTGAGCGAACCGGTTTGAAGACCCCGCGGAGGAACGGCATCAGCAGGAGGATGCGGTTTCTCCATCTCCCCGTCCCGCGACTTCGCCGGCCACTCTCAGGCCAATCAACGATCCGTCCCCACACCTGGGCCCACTAAGCGCCAAACCCCTTAAACTCCCCGGGGAGGTGCATTTGAGGTTTCCTTCTGTCTCCTCCTTCGGTGGCCCTACGGCCACGCCTCTCTCTGCTGCAACCCGGTGTCTCGGCGTCTCGGCTTGCTGCGTGCGTCCTGCTGCGTGTGTGGTGCTGCGTGCGTCGTGCTGTGTGCGTCCTGCATCTGCACCCTGCGTCAGGCAAGGAACCTGTTACAGTCATGAGACCTCTGGCTCGCCGTGGACCAGCTCTTCTACCGCGTGGCTGACGTTGTACCTCCCTCCCGCCAATTCCCTTGTGCAGTTACCTCCTAGCAACCTTCATATGACCCCATTATGTCTTCAGTTTCTGCTAAAGCTCTTCACCTTCCCTCTTGGACTGTGCTTTTCCCTTCCGATCGCAAAGGTGCTTGCAGTTTACAGCTACTAATGACTTCTACATTTTATCTTACATTTGATACACATTTCGTTCCTGGTGGGGAGGGGGAAGTGGCTTCCTTCCGCCCTTCTAGGTTCTTTGGTTGGACTACGAATTAAATTGACATAGGACAGATGAACAGGAGAGAAACCGCTTCAACTGTGTGCGCGAGGCTGGGAGTCCCACGAAACATGAAGGGCCAGATGATTGACAGTTACGCAGCGTCCTGAACCACGGAAAAGAACAGGGGACGGGGGCCTGTGCGGGTGGCGGAGACAAGCTATAGGGGGATGCGGGGAGGAAGCGTGTGGGGAATAAGGGCTGTCTTCTCGTGCAGATGAAAAGTCTTGCGGGTGATAAAAGTTGCCGGCAACAGTCCTCTTCCTGACTTACTAATGAAGATTCCCTTCCTAGACATACATTTCCTTTTTAAAACGGCAGCTTTTCAGAGCTACTCCGGTGTCTACAGTTTCTCAGAATAAGCAGCTCAAAATATGCCAAAGTCTATTCTGGGGTGGCACACCTGGTCTCCACAGTCATTTTGGGGTGGCGTGTCCTGCGCCCCAACATTCCCTCCCCCCCGTGATGGTTTGCAAAGACACGGTGCAGATCCGCCTCCCACGGCCTCTGGGCTCCACCCAGGCACCTGGCTCTCCATTCGCCTTCCTCGTGGCACCGGCAGGGTCTTTGGCAAACATCCAGGCAAAAGCTGGATCGTCCTTTACCACTTAAAACTTGTTCCAGACCCACCTTGGAGTTTCCAGACTTTTCCCTGTACGTTCAGCTCTCTCAGTCCTATCTTCCTTTCCACGGCTGCCAACAGTAGTTTGGGGCTTTGGGGGATCCCCAAGACAGATACGACAGGTATAACCTGGGTATGAGAGGTGTCCACTCACCCGCCTCAATTCCAGGCACGACTCGGGGCTAGTCAGCGGCCTGTGCAAAGTCAAGGTCAAGGACTCACAGCCTGGCCATAAAACAATTAGCAAGGAAAGCAAATTTCAAAGCTCTTATCTAGGAACAATCTAGACCTATAGATATCCAAGAACCACTGGAATAGTATAATTCTGCCCTTGCCCTTTGTCCGTCATTTTTATGTGCTCCAAGTAACACAGGTTTTCACGTATAACCTGCTTGGGGAAACCAGTGCTGTTTCCAAGTAGCATCACCTTCTTTCTAAAACACAACTTCGTCCCATCCTGGTCCCTAAACCCACAACCCGGAACTCATCACCGTTCATTACTGTTGCCCCTTTCTCCACCGCGGCGGTCACGCATGGTGAAAAGTCGTGTTCGCTGGTGAGGCTGGACAAAGAGCGTTCTGCATAATTAAATATCTTCAATACAGAGTTACAATTTTTGGTGATCTTGTTTCTATCTGCCCAGCAGTCACGACTTGGGGGAACCACCTCTTCCTGTGGGATGCGGGTGGGCTGCCCACCAACCAAAGAGCCCGACCTCTCCAGCCCTGGGGGAGGGCTCCGGACGCCGGCTCAGGCAAGTGCAGGGACGGATGACAGTGTCCAACTCCTGACCACCCCCAGGGCTATCCTGGTTTCTGTCCTTCTCAAAACATGGTGGGAGGCCGGGCGCGGTGGCTCATGCCTGTAATCCTAGCTCTCTGGGAGGCCAAGGCAGGTGGATCGTTTGAGCTCAGGAGTTCGAAACCAGCCTGAGCAAGAGCGAGACCCCGTCTCTACTAAAAATAGAGAGAAATTAATTGGACAACTAAAAATATATAGAAAAAATTAGCCGGGCATGGTGGCGCATGCCTGTAGTCCCAGCTACTCGGGAGGCTGAGGCAGGAGGATCGCTTGAGCCCAGGAGTTTGAGGTTGCTGTGAGCGAGGATGATGCCACGGCACTCTAGCCTCGGCAACACAGTGAGACTCTGTCTCAAAAAAAAAAAAAAAAAACATGGTGGAAAAGCTGGATGTGGTGGCGCGTGCCTGTGGTCCCAGCTACTTGGGAGGCCGAGGCGGGACGATCACGGGAGCCCAGGATTCAGGTCCAGCCTGAGCAATACAGCAAGATTCCATCTCTAAAAAAAATAAATGCATATGGTGGGAGCCACCCAGTGTACAGTTCCAAAATATTTCCTTCTTTCCCTTAACGTTTCTGTAGTTCCTGTTGCTTGCAATGCAACCGTGTCCTACGCACACTACACACGGACCCTTCATTTGCGAAGACTTACTCTTCAATGAAATACCCAGGACCCTCCCAAGCAGGTGCAGCGCGGATGCTGCTCACGCCCTCAGGTTGCAGGTGCTCTCGCCTGAGCAGCCGCCGCTGCGCTGCTCTCGGCGCTACCCCCTTTGCAGAGTGCCGTCTCGCGGGTGGATTGGAAAATGGGTCGGGGCACAGAGCACCCAGCACTGAGGCGGGTGCCGGCCCAGCCCTCCGCAGAGAGTGTCCTGACCAGCTCCAGGAAGCTGCCACATGGACCCTTTAACCTTTGAAGCCCACGGTCGGCCCAGCCTGGGTCCTTACCAACTACCTACGCGCCACTGTCGGGAGACCACGTAGCTGCCAAAACAGCCCAGCGGCCCCTGCAAGCTACGTAAACTCGGGGAACCGGCTTTTCCCTTCCTTCCAACACCCCCCGCCCCACCGCGAGAAACGAGTCTGGGGGCCATGGACTCTCCGTCCTGAGAAAACCCAGAGGCCAGACCAGCCGTGACACACCCCTACATCCCGCCCAGCTGCCAGCTCCTCCTCCGCTGCTGACGGAGCAGAGAAGGGCCAAGGACCCGGTCACGCAGGCCCTCCCCGTGCCGCCGTGTCGTGGGTGGATGATGCTTCCTCGTCACACGAGGATTCAAAGTTCAGCTCAGCTCCATCCCCAGCGGAGCCAGGCCCGCCCTGCTAGAAGGGCCACCACCCCAGGCCCAGGGAGGGCGCTCCTGAGCCCCCACACTGGCGACTTCCACTCCGGCAGGCGGTACGGGTGGGTGAGGGGTCAGGCCCAGTGCCAGCCAAGCTCTGGAAACCAAACGCCCAGGGTCCCTTTTCCTTGAATCTCTTGCCTCCCAAAACATTTACTGACAACGCCAGGCGCTGGTGAGGACACGGAGCCCAGAGCCCACGCAGGGCCCATCGGTGGGAACGTAAAACGATTAAACACTTAGGAAATGGGTCTGGCAATTTCTCTCTTAACGGAGGCGAGGTACAATTAACACAATACTAACCATTTTAGCCACTTTTAAGTGTACAATTCAGTATCATTAGTGCATTAAGGACGGCGCTCCCCGCTCTCACGACAAACTCGCATGCGCACGCCCGGGCCGGCCGTGGCCTCGACTCCCGCAGGGCCGCTTTCCAACGGCGCCAACGCCGGCGGGGCTCGCAGGGCCGCCCGAGGCAGGTTTTACAGCTGTTTGACTGTGGTCACCTGCAACTTGACTGGGACTGTCCAGTGCCACGTGAAACCTCACTGGGACCAAAGAGCCCAGCAGTCCCCTGCTCGGATTGGAAACTGCAGGATGGAATGGACGGGGGCCTCCTCTGCGGTCCCGCTCCCCGGGTCTGCCCCGGCCTCCTTCCCGCCCAACCTCCGGCTGAAACACCGCTCCTGTGCCCCCGAGCCCGCGCCTGCTTCCCGCCCCTGCAGCCGGGACCCTTCGCCCCTCGGCCGTTCAGGCAGCACCGAGCAGGACCCACCCCCTGCCCTGGCCACAGGGCGGTCCCAGGTCGCCGAACTCACAAGTACGTCTGCGCTGCGTGAGAACCGTCAAGCAGACACGTGAGGACGTTCACTTCTCAGGGGAATAAAACACTCATCAAAGGCAGAGCAAGGCAGGGATGTCAAAAGCGGTTCTCCAGGTAATGATGACAACAGCACGTCACGTCCCCAGTGACAAGCCAGCCCCTGAGCACAAGGCTCGCTGGGCAGCTGCCACCTCTCGGCCGGTCTGCAGAGCCCTGGAGAGCTGTGATAACACAAATTCCTTTGAGATAACGTGAAGGTTGTTTGCTAGGTCGCCTCCTAGTGAGATGACACGGTTTTAAGTTCTGTTGGGTCTTTCTACCTCCTGTAAATTAAAATTAAATTAGAACAATTTAAATGTTGAACAAGTTTAATAAAATGTAAAAGAACTCAAAGCTTTTAAGATAGTAAAGAAAAAAATGTAAAAGAACTAGGATTTTCAATCTCAACTTTCCACCCAGCAACCAAAGATCACGTGCGTAACTTCCGTCGGTGACCGAGGACAACAGTGGGGCCGACGCACACTGAGACGGCGCAAGACCTGGCCGTGAGGGCTTTGGGAAAGGGTGTGTTTCTAGGGTTCCAGCCCTTCCACGCCACACTGTAGGGGCCTGTGCAGCCCGATGTCCCTGAGCTCCTGCAGCACACCCAGGGCGGTGGCTGTAGGTGTCTGGCATTTACGCCACGCGATCCCAGTGGATGGTCCCGAGAGGCCGGGATAAGTTACCTGAGACGGCACAGAGGGGCCCACACCACGGGCCCCTGGCCTCTCTCCTGGCGGCGGCAGTGAGGCAGGAACTCCACCTTGGTGCTCAAAGCCAGGGTCTCGTCACAGAGGCGGGGAGCCATGTGGCCCCAAATGAATTACCTCCCCAGGAGGCTAGAGGAGGGTCAGGGAAGAGGCAAGAGCAGGTTTTGTACAGCCTACTGGGGCGTGAGTACCAGCACCTTGGTTTTCACCAAACAAGAAAATGCCACCCGGGGCTGGCGCGCAGCCATCGGCACTGCCGCCATCGGCGGGTTCCTCCAGTGACACTTCCATCCAACACCGGCTGAGTGTTTGTCCCCCCGTCCTGTCCCTCTGCTGCTTTCCCAGCTGCACGTCTGAGAGCTGGGAGACAGGCCAGCCAGCAGGTCCCTTGCTAACCTGAGCGATGCGGGTCACGGAGCTAGTCTCAGTGGCAACGCAGCCAGAGAACACGCACCGACTGAAAATATTTCAGCAACAGAATGTAAAAAGTGGATTACATGCGGAGGCAGCTCATTTCCTCCTCGCCCTGCAGCGCTCGGCGGGCTTCTGCGCGTCCTCCTGCCGCTGCTAGCTCTCCTCTGGGGGCAAGGGATCGGCCGTCCCCCGCCTGTGCGCGGCAGACCTTTCGGGCTGCGGGGGCCTCTCCGCAGGCTCCTGCACACGGCGGCAGGTGATGGCAGGAGGCTTCGGGTCGCAGTAGCTAAAATCACAGCCGACCAGCAGGTCTCCCTGAGAGACCCCGTCGAAGCAGGGGTCCTCCAAAGCCCTGGGGCCGTCCCCCATGCCTGTCCTCGCCAGCGTGGTCTGGAGAAGTTCTCGGATTCTCCGGTTTTCCTTGGAGGTAGACTCCCAGATAACTTCAAGTTCACCTTCCATTTCTCTGAAAGAAACAAGCGAAGCAAAGGAAAAGTTTAAAATGGCACAATTTAAAAAATATTTATAGAGCAAGCACTCGAAGGAAAGAATGCCAACATCAGGGAACGACGGAGACCATTGTGTTTGGGTTCTGAAGCAAAGATGCCAATGTCGAGTGACACACCCAGGTGCCCTGGAAAGAGAAAACACAAAGGCACGGGCTGCAAAAGCAGCTCTTACTCTCCTCCTCTCAGCTTTGCCTTTTCCTTTGCTTTGGCATCAACGACAGCCTCTGCTCGCTAAAGAAGGAACAAGTGCGTAACGACAAAACACGGCGCCTGCGCCGCTGACCTGAGCCAGTCGGACGCTGGCCTGGCTGCGGGCGTCCACACGGCGTGGGCCCCGTAGGCCTCTCCTGGGTCCCCTCTGCCTGTCCGCACTGCGACCCGGCCAACATCAGGGACCCATCCACAGAGCCACTGATGGGCCCAGACGCACAGAGTGAGTTAGGGGGTGCGGAGGGGACCCACAACTGACGACACAGGGGAGACCGGCCTGGACCGTGTGCCGGGGGGTGAGCGGCCAGAGGGAAGGAAGCGGAAGGGGCAGCAAAGCAGCGTTTCCTGAGCAAGGATTCGGTGCCAGGTGCAGAGGGGACAACACGGCCCTCGTGAAAGGCCGGCTTAAGTGTGAAACCAAAACAACGTGAGAGACCAAGTTCATCTTCCTAAAGCGTCACGTTCCGCAACGTTTCAGTTCACTGGCGATACTTCCTCTGCCACGTCGGGAGGACAGAGGTGTGACAAAGACAATACCTAGAGCCGCGATCCAGAGCACACGCCGCGCCACAAATGTGTCATTAGCATCTCACAAAAAGGGAATGGACGATCAGATTTTAACGTTCTAAGAAATCAGAAAACAGCAGCAGCAGAAATGAAACGTAATCAAAGATTAATAAAACCTCCCAAGACAATGAAATGAAACAAAAATATCAGAGCTATAAAAGAGTAGAAAACTGGGAAGTTGTTCAGAGGACTGGATTGACTGAGGGAGTCCGGTTCAAATAGAAATTTTTTAAAAAGAGAATAAAGAAAATAAGGAGCAAATAAAATCAAGGGCAATATTAACTTCGGACAAAACTAAAATGTAAACACAAAATTAAACAATCAAACAAACAAAACAGGCCCTGAGGGTTTTACCGGCAAATTCCATCAAGCATTCAAAACGCAAAGTGTTCTAAGGCCAGCATCCCGCGGGCCGGGGCGGCCCCACCTCTTCTGCCGCAGCGCCTCGTCCAGGACGTCCTGCTTGTCCCTGAGCATCCGATGCAGGTGCCTCATCTCCTGCAGGTACTGGGCCGTCCTGCCAGCAAAGTCCTCCTGCTGCTCCACCAGACGGTGGCTGATGTCACCCAGCTTCAGCGCTGTCTTCTTCTTGTATCCCTGGGGGAGGAGGTGGCATCAGTGAGCAGGGGGACACCATCTGCAGGTGGCTGGGGCCTCCCGGCTGTGTTCTCGCCCACCGCCTGCACGTCACAGCCTGCCAGGTACGGCCCCCGTCAGGCGGATCCGGGAGGGCAGACCTGGGTCATAAAGGTCATAAAAGGTGAGAGAAGAATTTCAAGTGTAATAAAACCAAATCTCTAACTTTTGTTATATCTGGGTTTTTATATGCTGCAAATAAAATTAAAACATAAAACATCACCACCATGGAACACACTGGATGACACTGCAGGTCATTCCTACCGCTGGAAGCCACGAGATAGAAGCCTCAAGAGTTCTGAGCGCAGCACTTTTCCCTCAGCAAAAGGGGCCTCTCCTCAGGAACGGCACGCCCGAGAGCCCCCGTTTAAGGAAAAGAGTGGAGCTGCTCTGCGCCGCAGAGGGAAGGGGAACCCCGACCACAGAGGGCTGCTGCCCATCGTAAAGGATGACGATGATGGTCTGGTGGTCAGCCTTCCCTGGGGCGGCCCAGAGTCCACACTGCGGTGCTCACAGTCGCTGCACGTAGCAGACCCTGCTAAGAAACCAGATCACGGGCCGGCGCGGTGGCTCACGCCTGTAATCCCAGCACTCTGGGAGGCCGAGGTGGGTGGATCGTTTGAGCTCAGGAGTTAGAGACCAGCCTGAGCAAGAGCGAGACCCCGTCCGTGCTAAAAATAGAAAGAAATTAGCTGGGCAACTAAAAACATATAGAAAAAATCAGCCAGGCATGGTGGCGCATGCCTGTAATTGCAGCTACTCGGGAGGCTGAGGCAGGAGGATCACTTGAGCCCAGGAGTCTGAGGTTGCTGTGAGCTAGGCTGACGCCACAGCACTCACTCTAGCCTGGGCAACAGAGTGAGACTCTGTCTCAAAAAAAAAAGGAAAGAAAGAAAGAAACCAGATCACACCTCTGGCAGCATCTCTGCCTGCACCACCTGAAAATCAAGACCCACAAGGCAATGCAGCCTGCAAAAACTTAATATCGGTATTATTTAAGAAATATCTAGGAAACATAGGAAAATATAGGAAAATATGCTTTAGGACACTATTTGGATCAGAGCAATTTTAAGTTAAATTTTGTGGTCTATAACTTTTTAAAAAATAAATACTTCAGGACTAAAACTTACATTCCCTAAAACAAATTCACGACATACGTTTACTCGTGTGTACGCGCTGTTAACCTCATACCATACCGTGCCGTGCACACGAGCCAGCCACTGTTGACTTTTTCTTAGTTTGTGACTTTTCCAACGTGCTAAACCCCATTGATCTACTTCTCCACTCCAGGCCCTTTAGTTCCCATTCTACGCGTACACACGCCTGAGGCCACAGGTCCTGGATCTTACTCGACTGCGTGGAGCCGCGGGTCCTCACAGCACCTACCCTCCACGGTCCCCAGTTCCTCGCCCTCCCCGGGGCCTCCAGCCTGCTGTCACCCGCCCTGCCAGGTGGAAAGCGGCGCAGCTGGGGGGCCGTGGCTGCAGGTGGGGAGGACACAGCCTGCAGGGAGGCGAAGCGAGGGGTGGTCCGGGGCAGGAGAGGAGGCACGATGACAATGGCTTTCCTTGGGCAGAGACACCAGAAGGTGCCACCAGGATGGAAGCAAGAGAGGAGCAGGCCAAGGCTGCTCTCTAACTGGACCAGACAGACGCCGGGCTTGACGGGAAAGCCGGGACGCTAACCGAGTGACAGAACCTGGAGATTCTGCCACGGCTTTTTTTTTTTCCCCTAAAAAACAGCTGCACACTATTTTATTGTGCGGATGAATAAAGGTTCATTTAATGAGTCGAGAGGTGCTACTTCTGCCAGCGAAAACTTACACTGCTTTATTCTGTGGATGATTAGTGACATATGCATGCAAAATCTACACCAGTAATCCTCTGTCCCCACTTGAAAATGCAATCTCCGAGGCTAAGTGACCACTTACCTTAACTTTTTCCTCCAACTTTCCCAAGCGAATATTGCCTTTTATGATTTTGTTGATAACTCCGTGCTTCTCACTTTCTAAACATTTAGCCTAAAGAGAAAGGTGAAAAAAAATAAATGGGCTCTCAGTTTTACAGAAAAATTAAAATAACAAATTCTTTTTTTTCATAACAAAGTATCAAGCAATAGGCCAGGCACAGTGGCTCATGCCTTGTAATCCTAGCACTTGGGGAGGCTGAGGCAGATCGCTTGAGGCCAGGAGTTCGAGACTAGCCTGACCAAGAGCGAGTCCCTGTTTCTACAAAAAGTAGGAAAATTAGCTAGGTGCCCGTAGTCCCAGCTACCGGGGAGGCTAAGGCAAGGCGATCGCTTGAGCCCAGGAGTTCAAGACTAGCCTGGGCAACACAGTGAGACCCCATCTCAAAAGGAAATACTCTCGAAATCATGCTAGCACGTTAACTTGCAGTTTACTCGACGTAGCTTTCAGGAGACTCACCAAATGCATCAGACTGTCCCGTTCCTGGGTTACATTCTCTGCCAGACCAACAAGGTTCGCCAAGTACTGGTGGGCAGACATCTCGTTCCCCATGGCTTTCTCCACCTGCTTTTTGAGGACATCAATTTTCTTTTGAGATCTCCTAGAGTTCCCCCGAAGGGTGGAATAGAAAACTTATTAGCCTCATGACCAGGTCATGGTGAATATCATGTATTACAAAAACAGCAAGCATGTTAGCGTTTAAATGTTATTCTTCAGCAACCTAAATCTTCTATTACGTTTCAAGGTGAGAAGAGGTAAGTGAATTTAATTTGAAACCAAGCGTAATTACTGACTCCAAGTTATCAGGGGTCACAAAATGCCTAACAATGAATAGGATAATTAAATACCATTCTATTAACTTTTTGGCTCGTGTTCCAAACGATACTTTAGAAAAAGAGATCCAGTAATCCCACAGTAGACTAGTGATTAGGAAAGAACTTGTAGCACTTCCAGCGTTCGGTCGTCATGACGATCGACCATGTTTCAGCTATTGACTTGAGAAATGTCGTTAATGTTGCTCCACAGAAAAGCTTACACCGTACTTATGTTCTGATATCCAACAATTTCGATTACCCTCTTCTGTGCTATAGCCACTTTAGAAAAAGAAGAGATAAAGGAAATGAAATGGAATACCCTTCGGTTGTCTTTTTTTAAACCGTTGGGGAAAAAAACAACTTAAGGGAAAAAAAAATATATAAACCTATTTATTTTCTGTGCCCTCTCGAGCTCGGCTTCCAGCGCTTTGATTCTCACTGTCAGCTTGCTCTTCTCTAGAAGCAGGCTCTGTCTCTGCACCTGCAGGGCCAGCAACTCTTCCATCAGCTCCTCCGTCTCGGCGCTCTGTTTCTCTTCTTCCTTCCGCAACTGGCTGGAGGACAGAAACGTTACCCGCACGTATGCGTCACAACGGAGGCTGACGTGAGGCAGCCACGGCCAGACGAGTGACATGCAGCTGGGCCTGCAGCCCCCGGGGGGTCGCTGGAAGGTCTCTGTGGAAACCCCTCCCCATCCCCAGCCAGACAGGAGGGAGGACGTGGCCGGGAACACCCTTCTTTGATAGTCACAATCTAATTCCTTTCTTTGCCCACAGTTTTCGCTTACCACTGTGTGTATATACTTATTTGTGCCCTATTCCTTCCAGAAAAAAATCTAAGACGGCTCGATTTTTTGCACAGTTATAACTGCCAGTGAAAAAATCCTACTGTTAAAACAGATTTTATTTCATAATAAAGTCATTATAAATAGATGTTTTATGATAAAAGCAACAATGAACAAAGGGGCCCATGTTTCGCTGCACACAAGCTGGAGTGTCGTCAAACAGGCACAGGGAGCAGCAGGGGACAGGTGCGTCCTTGTCACACACGGCAGGGATGCACCACCGCAGGGATACGTAACATGGTGTGATCTTAAGGTCAGTTTGTCCGCTGTAACTTAAAAATACATAAAAATCCAGAATTCATTTCTTTCACTGAAAACTTACTTAACTATTACCTTACTGGATAAATTGTTGACCTGGATTAATAATAAAGGGCTAAAGAAGAATGTGGAAAATACGAGGCCTTCTGCCTGCAGCCAAGGCAGGTTACAGAGACCAGATTTACGCTTCAGCTAAAAAGCAGGCAAAACATAACAAACAACAGTCTTCAGACTTTGGACAACGGGCCGTGCGGGGCTGTGATCCCTGAGAGACAAACAAGGCACGAGGCCTGCCCCGCCTCACTGTCCGGCGGGAGGGAAACCCAAACAAGCCCGCAGACTTGCTGAGTTGAGTCAGAGACCCAAAGATCGGGAGGTTAAGGCAGCTAGAATTTCGAGGGCAGAGAGGACGGAGTTCCCCAGAGGGGGAAAAGGCTCGGGAGAGCTCTAGCGGGTCACCTGAGCACCGATCCGTACACGTGAGAGGACACTGCCTGAGGCTAAGGAAAGAAACCCTGGGAATGAGTAGGCGGGACAATTCCTGACATTCATGCAGAACAGGAAACGGCGCATGAGCCCACTAGTCAGAAGGGAAAGACCTACACCGCTAGGGACGCTGGACAGAAGCCTCATGAGAGTGTCACTGCCTCGGTAATGGGGCTGAATTAGCCCCAGACTAAGGTCGTGGCCACCCCAACAAAAGTCAGCTTTGAAGGAACCCAACTACTCTCCAGTAACTTAGGCGTGAATCAGAACAAAATCTAACACTATTTAAAGCAATGCACCGACCCCAGCATCCAACAACATAAAGTCTACGCTACTCGGCACCCAGCCAAGCACGGGCATAAGCTATAGAATACGATCCGTGATCTGGAGAGAAAAAAAATCAGCAGAACAGAAGCAGAGAGACGATGGCAGGGGCCGACAAAGGTTTCTAAACAGCTGTTACAAACATGCTTTGTATGTTTGAGAAAGTAGAGAAAAATAGCAATGATGGGGGAGAAATGGAAAATATAAAAAAGACTCAAATGGATCTTACAGAGACGGAAAACAACCGTCTGTGAGGTGAACCATACGTTGGATAGAAATAACAGCAGATTAGACTGCGGGAAACATCAGTGAATTTGAAGACGGCGACAGAAACTCTCCAACGAAGGCGCGGAGAGGAACAAGGGTGGGGAAGGACCGAACAGAGCACCGGTGATCCCAGGGACAGTATCAAGCAGTCCCGGGAGGAGAGGTGGAAAAGGGAAAATAGAAGAGAATACTAAAGAAATAATAGCTGGAATGTTTCCAAAATTGATGAAAAACATAAACCCACAGCCTCAAGTTCAGTGACCCGCAAGCAGAATAAAGAAACCACACCGAGACACCGCCTAATTAAACTGCTGAAAACCAGTGACAAAGAACATTTCTTAAAAGCAGCCTCAGAGAAACACGCGTTATCTTCAGAGTAACAAAGATAACAGTGGCAGATTTTCATCAGAAACAACACAAGTCAGAAGACGACAAAGGACATCTTTGAACCCAAAAACCTGTCGGCTGGGATTTCTTTACCCAGCGGCTTATTGCTGTGATCCCCAACCCCTGGGCTGTGGACGGGTACAGTTCCGTGGCTTGTCAGGAACCAGGCCGCACGGCAGGCGGTGAGCGAAGCCTCCTCCCATTTCCAGCCACTCCCCATTGCTCGCATCAGTGGATAAGCCCCGCCTCCTCTCAGATAGCAGTGGACCCTGCTGTAAACTGCTCATGGAGGGATCCAGGTTGCGGCTCCTTACGAGAACCTAACGCCTGGTGATCCGAGGTGGAGCTGAGGCGGTGATGCTAGCGCCGGGGAGCGGCTGCAAACACAGGTTATCTTTGGCAGAGACGTTTGACTGCACAAAAAATGTAATGCACTTGAATCATCCCAAGACCATCTCCCTGCAGTCCACAGAAAAATTGTCTTCCATGAAATGGGTCCCTGGTGCCCAAAAGGTTGGGGACCACTGTCTTACTGTCTTATCAATAAAATTTTATAATTTTCCTGATATTC